TCCTTCCTTCCTTCCTTCCTTCCTTCCTTCCTTCCTTCCTTCCTTCTCCATGCTGTATGTGGGGCTTGAATGCAGGACCTAGAGATCAAGAGTCACTTGCTCTATGGACTGAGTTGCCCATAAGTTTTTTTTTTTTTTTTTAAGTTTATTTATTTGGAGCACCTGGATGGCTCGGTTGAGGGTCCGACTTCAGCTTAGGTCATGATCTCACCTTTCGTGAGTTGGAGGCCTGCATCTGACTTGCTGCTGTCAGCACCAAGTCCACTTCAGATCCTTTGTCCCCCCTCTTTCTCTGTCCCTCCCCCACTCAACGCCCTCTCTCTCAAAAAAATAAGTAAACATAAAAAAATGAAGTTCAGGGGCGCCTGGGTGGCGCAGTCGGTTAAGCGTCCGACTTCAGCCAGGTCACGATCTCGCGGTCTGTGAGTTCGAGCCCCGCGTCGGGCTCTGGGCTGATGGCTCAGAGCCTGGAGCCTGTTTCAGATTCTGTGTCTCCCTCTCTCTCTGACCCTCCCCCGTTCATGCTCTGTCTCTCTCTGTCCCAAAAATAAATAAAGGTTGAAAAAAAAATTAAAAAAAAAAAAAATGAAGTTCACTTATTTGAGAGACACTGTGAACGGGGGACTGGCAGACAAAATTGCAAAGTAGACTTCATGACCTGAGCCGAAGCCAAGAGTCAAGTGCTTAGCTGACTGAGCCACCAGGAGCCCCTTAGGCTGCTTTTTTTCATCCCTATAGGAACTTAATCTGGGGTAGTAGTGGACTTTGCCATTAGGCATTATTTGGCAAGTGGATAAGTATCTGGCTTGGGAAGAAGTAACAATGAACTTTCCTACTAAGTCTTGTGTAGAATAGGGAAAGGAAGTCCAAAGACTAAATAAATGGCATCAAGGTTGACAGGAGTGATCCTAATGTGTGTTGGGGACAGATTCTTCAGCAGTAGTTGAGGTTTTTTGCCAAAATAGAAATTTCTCACGAAACTTGTTCAGTTGTTTTCTAAAGTAGCCATTCCTGGGGTGCCTGGGTGGCTCAGTTGTTTAAGGGTCTGACTTCCGCTCAGATCATGATCTTACGGTTTGTGAGTTTGAGCCCTGCATCAGGCTCTGTTACTAACAGTTCAGAGCCTGGAGCCTGCTTTGGATTCTTTGTCTCCCTCTCTCTGCCCTTTGCCCACTTGTGCTCTGTCTCTTTCTCTCTCTCTTAAAAATACATAAACGTTAAAAAAAAATAAAGTAGCCATTCCTTCCCCTTTTCCTTCCTTTCTTTCCTTTTTTTTTTTTAAAGTTTTTTATTTTGAGAGAGAGGGAGCATGGGAGTGCAGGGGAGGGGCAGAGAGAGAGAGGAAGAGAGTGAGAATCTCAAGCAGCCTGCACACTGAGAGTCCCACTGCAGGGCTCGAACTCAATAGCGAGATCATGACCTGAGCTGAACTCAAGTTGGATGCTTAACTGACTGACCACCCAGGCGCCCCTCTTTCCCCCTTTTTCATAAAGGAATGCTAACCTTGCTGGGTGTGCCACCCTTTGATTTATTTGGCATCATGGAAGTATCATTTGGTTTTGCTGATTCTCATTTTAGCCTGTCTTTAGTACCCAAGTTCCTTGGGTTTTCCAGAGATTTGCCATTAGAGGAAAAGAATTTCTTAGTAGCAAGAGGATTCTGCCTCACTTTTTTTACTCATCACTGGATTGCTCAGTTAAGTGCCCAGTGTCTTTACAGAGTATTGGAGACTTGACTAAAAGCATCAGTAGAGAATGTACAGATTTGGGGGGAAGGTAATTTTAGGGGCCTTCTCTAAAGTTAACAGCTTTTAAAATCTAAATCATGTTGACCACTTGTTTCTGTTTTTACTGTGACACCTTAGTTGCCACATGATTTTGAAATTAAAGTGACAGCTTACCTTGAAGGAAAAAAGAATTGACTGATAGATAATTACAGAGATTAGATATGAGGCAAACTGCAGATCTGCTGGTTTCCCAGGAATATAATTAGAGGGGCTTAAATTTCACAGGTTCAATAAAATCAACTGAAATTTAGGAGAATATTACAGAAAGAATTTTTAACTAGAACTTTATTGTGTAACAGAACCACTTTCTGATCAAAGCACCTGGAATCAAATCCTGACTTAATTAACGTTCTAGTTAGAGGCTTTGGGCAAATTATTGAACGTGTAAACCATAGGTTTTTGATTTGCTAAATAGGAATAACACCTGTCTCTTAAGTTTACAATAAGGATAAAATTGGAAAATGTATGTGACAAGGACAGTTGGCTCTTAAACAATGAGGGGTTTAGGGACACCATCCCCCCTGCACAGTCAGAAATGCAACTGTAACTTTTGATTCCCCCAGAACTTAACTACTAATAGCCAACTGTTGACCAGAAGCCTTACTGTTAACATAAAGTCAATTAAAACATATTTTGTATGTTATATGTATTATATACTATATTCTATAATAAAGGAAGCTAGAGAAAATAGGAAAATCATAATACTGAGAGGAAGAGAAATATGCTTATAATACTCTATTTATTGAAAAATCCGCATATAAGTAGACTGCATTTCAAACCCATGTTGTTGGAGGGTCAGCTGTACTTAGAAACCTGAGTTCCGGGGTATGGCATAGTGAGAAGAGCAAGAGCTTAGTAATCATTTACTCCTGGGTTCAATTCTTAATTCATCGGGCGACTTTCTTCATCTCTAAGGGCTTCTATATTATCGTTTATGAGATGACCACATTGGAAGGCTATTGTGAGGACTAGATGGGATAATATATACAAATGGGATAATATATGCAAAGCACCTCGCACAGTGTCTGGCTCAGGAGTGAGCCCTCATATTAGGGCCTCCTCTCGGTCAGAAATTCTGTGCTGTAAGCTACTTTAGTGGTGACATCTCTGTCATGGTTCATTCACTTTATATCTACATAGGACTTCCTCATGCTTTTGCCTTTGTCTTGGGGAATCTATTATCAAGTGATTGGAATTGGCAATCGTTACTTACTCAGCAGTTGTTTGAGTGTTCACTGTACCAGATGCTGGTCTAGGCAGTGGGGGGAAAGTGGTGGACAGGAAATGGACCGTCTCTTAGGGAATTTATATTTTAGTGCATGTAGTAGTGTCCTATTGCTGCTGTAACAAATTACCACACTTTTAGTGGCTTAAAATAACAGAAAATGTATATTATATCATATTACAGTTCTAGAGGTTGAAAGTCTCGTATCTGTTTCTCTGGGCTAAAATCAAGGTGTTAGCAGAACTGGTTCTGCTGAGGCTCTGAGGGGAGAATCTGTTTTCTTGTCAGTTTCAGAGGCCACCTGTAATCCTTGCTTTACAGGGTCTTCCTCCTATTTTCAGACTTGCCGGTGCAACTTCTTAAGTCTGTCTTCACATTTACTACTGTAGTGAAGTTTCCCTCTGCTTCCTTGTATAAGGTTATGGTATGTGTTAATGGAGTTGCAAGAAGCAAAAGGAAAAAGTTGTTTGGGAAATTTAGGAAGACCTTAATGGAAGAAACGGATATTGTATTGGAGACTTAGAATGTTGGTAAAAGAACCCCCCGCCCCCCCCCCCCCGCCCAACTCCTGAAGGAATGCCTTAGAAAGGGTGATGTGTTTGTGTGTATTGAATAAAAATAATATAACATCGGTGTTTACTTACTGTTTATATACTGTGTCAGGATTTGATGGGAAGAGGGCATTTCAAGTGAGGTGTGGCACAGGGAAGTGCAGGGGATATCTATTAAACACTCCAGGAACTTTTTGACCATGCAGGTTTCCTTCTCTGGGAAGGGGAAAATTAGTAACCTAAAGAGATTGTTCCTACCAGCGTCTGTGCCGATATGCATTACCCTGCCGTTTGGTGTAGTACAAGGGTATGTTAATTTCATTTTACAAAATAAAAAGACAGACTCCCTAAGGATTAGGTGATGAGCCCAAGTCACCTAGCTTAGAGAGTGGTAGAGCAAGTGTTTTAACCCAGGTCATTTCAACACCAGAGCTGATGTATAATGGTAAGAAAAACTAGTACATGTCTCTGCTCAGTGGATATGAATCATGTTTGGTGGGGAGGAACGTAAAAATCATTCTAATTTTGAAGAAATCTGGGACACTTGAATTGTTTTCTATGTCGTGCCTTTTCAGAGGTGAGTCTGGAGCAGTGTTTCACTAGGGTTAGGGGTGGGAATAGGCATTTTTCCTAAGAAGCAGATGGAAAAAGTGAAAGAATATCCAGTATGTAAGTCTGGCAAACACCTGCTAGGGGTGAGGTGCTGTGTCCTATAGTACTGCTTCTCAAAGTGAGTTCTTCTGGGGACTTCCTGCGGCCCTAACAGGAAGACCTTGAAGTCAAAATTATCTCCATAATACTAAGATGCTTTTCTCATCTAATTCCTTCACGAGCCTACCATGGAGTTTTCCAGACAGGTGACTTTGTAACAGACTGAACGCATTAAAGATATGAGTGTCTTTTATTAAGACAGGCATTAAAAAGAATTGTACTGTCACTAATTAAAAAGTTATTTTTAGCAAGTATGTTTAACAGTAATGCTTAAGGCATTTAATATTTTAATTTAAAATATTTTAATATTAACATTTCTTAGTTTTAATTTCTGTACACTAAAATTGATAAATAAACCTCACATTAACCAAAGCTCTTTGGGGTCCTACATAATTTAAGGTTGTAAAGGGATCCTAAAACTAAAAAGTTTGAGAATTCTTGTTCTTTATCAGGTAATATAGTCAGTGGCCACTATTTCTAACAAGCATAATTGGAGGGGGGGGGGGCATTTTTCTTTTCTGTCTTACCCATCTGTGTGCTCCTCCTTGACATTGGGGGAGCTTTATTCTACTGCCTATCTTGTTTATATTTTAGGTGGCAAACCACTTAACTTAGACCTTAAGGATAGCAATTTCAGTTTTAAGTTGGATTGGAATTTGAAAACACTATGTGTAGTTTTGGGGTCAGTGGACTGCTTTAGTTGCCTGTGTCTTACCGTTATACTTACAGAGTCAAAAGTGTTCAGGCTCACTTAGTTTTCTTCATAAAATCTGTATTCTGGTTGATACAATTTGACTTCAAGCTTGAATAAGAATCAGGTGTGATCCAGAATTTCAGGACAGAACAGATTATACATTGGTGGCTTTTCAGCATGACAGTGCGTTTTCTTTCTTTTGTTCTAGTAGATAATGGTGGGGTTGGTTATGAAATGGGTAGTTTTCATTTAGACAGCCAGTGACGGTCTTCCAGCACTGTGCCAAGTACCTGCAGATAAAACTGAGGCTGAGATTAAAATGGTAATACGGTATTTTTCCAAAAGGACATCTGGCTGCATTTATTAATTCTTTTAAGCCAGCAAGTCAGCCTGCACTCCTGGAGACCAACTAGAGAGTAACGTTTGTTACCTGAAGCTTGTAATGGTCCTGTGATCTGAATGGCTATTATTACCAAATTGTTTTTCCCCCCACAGTGCCTCGTACTGAAGGAGGAGCCTCTGCCAAAATGCCAGTAGATGAATACTGGCTGTGTTTGCCAGCCTCTCACGTTAGACCTTTTGTACAGACGGTCAGGTTGATGCAGTCTTGTCCCCATTGTTGCTGGTACCCACGTGCTCTCCCTTCAGTCTCTGAGCCGTCAGGTGCACCTGCCACCCTGCCAAGGGGCAGCCACGGTGCCATGCCTCTTCCTGCACCCTCCTCCAGTGCGCCCCCTTCCGCGTCCCCAGCATCCTGCTCTACTGACCCTAAGCTCTGCCCTTCCCCCCCTACAGCTGATGGTAGGCAGGAGAAAAACGTGGCGTCGGGGCTGGTAAGTTTGGGGGACTTTTATCGATTATTGAGATTAAAACTTCATTTTTAAACACACTTTTTTGTTGCTGGTATAACATTTAGCACACATGTTTGTTTTAATAAAAGGTAATATTAAAAATACCACCAAAACAGGAGGCACCTGGTTGGCTCTGTTGATTAAGCATCCGACTCTTGAGCTCAGCTCAGGGCTTGATCTCAGGGTCATGAGTTCAAGCCCCGCTCTGGGAGCGAAGCCTGCTTTAAAAAATAATCACCAAAACAGTGTTCCAAGCTAATATGAAATATAACTCATGTATATAAAACCTAGTGAAATGAAATGGCTTTTGAAGTTAAAAGTCTATAATGTTTATATTATAAAGTCTGTTATGTGCCAAGTACATGGAAACTAATACAGTATAGGAGGCCTCGTGCCTAGGTAGATTAAAGTAGTAAGCTTTAGGGGTGCCTGGCTGGCTCAGTGGGTAGAGCATACAACTCTCGATCTCAGGGTTGTGAGTTCGAGCCCCATGTTTGGTGGAGAGATTACTTAAAACAACTAAAAAAATACATTTAAAAAAATGTGTTCTTAAAAAAAAGTTGTACAGAGTTGTGCTTAATTTATTGTCTCCCGCACCCTCCCCCACTTTTTATTTCTTTCCTTATATAAAGTATCTTGGGAGGCTCCTGGGTGGCTCAGTCAGTTAAGCGTCCAGCTGACTCAGGTCATGATTTCACGGCTCATGAGTTCAAGCCCCACATCAGGCTCTGTGCTGACAGCTCAGAGCCTGGAGCCTGCTTCGGATTCTGTGTCTCCCTCTCTCCCTCTCTCTCTCTCTGCCCCTCCCACACTGTGCGCAGGCGCGATCTCTCTCTCTCTCTCTCTCTCCCTCCCTCCCTCCCTCCCTCAAAAATAAATAAACATAAAAAAATAAATAAAATGCCTTGGAAAAGCAGGGACTTTTACATTTAACTTTTCTTGTAGGTAAATGTCAATTAATGCTTTTGTTCTGAACTTTTACCTGAGCAATGTAGAAAAGTCTTAAGTATTTGGCTAATCTGTTTCAGTTGCTATTTACCAGGCCTCTATCTTTTTTTTTTTTTTGTTTTAATATTTATTTTTTAGGAGAGCACAAGCGGGAGAGGGGCAGAGGGAGGGGGGCAGAGGATCGGAAACAGGCTCTGTGCTGACAGGATAACAGCAGTGAGCCCAGTGTGGGGCTCAAACTCAAGAACTGTGAGATCGTGACCTGAGCCGAAGTCGGACGCTCAGCCAGGTGCCCCTACCAGACCGCTCTCCTAATCTGAGAACTTAGGCCACTTATTTTTGTACCTTTGGCCAGAAAATAAAGATGACTACTGAATGGTTATTGATGGTTTTATTAAAAACATACAGTACAAATATTTTAAAAACCAAATTTAAAACCTAGTGTAATAATTCTGGGGAAAAAGGACTGATGATCATACTTCATTTAGGACTAAGTTGGTTTTGTTGGAATGTCAGGGTCTAACATTAGAAGTTCTATATGAACATTTCAGTTAGCAATCTGTGATGCGAAAAGGAATTAGGACAGTCCTAACAAAAAGCAAATTCTTGGTCACCACTTGAAAAGAGGGTTGAACATTTTCTCCTTGCGTGCTGTGATAGAAGTGAAACGATATTTTTCCTTTGAATATTCCTTTTGCTTTTTTCAGAGAAAGGTTTTCTCACAAAACTTTTCGGCATTGCTGCTTTTAAGTTAACTTATTTCCTCTTCCTTTTCTTTAGGCTTATCAGGAGGGCAGACTTCAAAAGCTACTGAAAATGAACGGCTCGGAGGGTCTTCCCGAGTCCTATGACTATGACCTCATCATCGTTGGAGGCGGCTCAGGAGGGCTGGCAGCTGCTAAGGCAAGGCTCCTGTGTGTCATCTGGGTGATGGGTAGGAGTCACGCTCCTGATAGACGTCCGCCGGTTCTCACTGGAATTAGGTTGAGCCACTCTTGTGACATTCTGCACCTTAACTCGGGCAGGACATGTTTACAAAGGGACTATTTTGTAAATCAGTTTTCCAGGTTGAACTGTACCTTCTTTGTGAAAGTACTTCTACATGACAGTACCGTGCCCCGTATCTTGGGACACATTTTCATTCATTTTAAGTTTGGCTGACTTTTCAAAGATAATAAAGGTGTGGTATAGAAACAGTTTGAAATTAAATAAATATATTTCTTACTCTTTATAAATATCAATATTAGGTTTTTTTCACTTTGATGATTTTCCTCTTCACAGGCCCTCCTCCCCAGTAGAAAAATGGAGAGCAGTTGGATTCCTTAAACTTAATCATTAAAAACGTTTGCCTCCTGGGGCACCTGGGTGGCTCAGTCGGTTAAGCGTCTGATCTTGAGGTCTGTGAGTTCAAGCCCTGCATCAAGCTCTGTGTTGTCAGCTCAGAGCCTGGAACCTGCTTCAGTTTCTGTGTCTCCCTCTCTCTCTCTGCCCCTCCCCCACTCGCTCACGCACGCTCTATCTCAAAAATACACATTAAAAAAAATTGAAAATGTTTGCCTCCTTTGTATAAGAAGTGAACTAAGAGAATACCCACTAACTCTGGTCTGGGGGTCATGGGGGAGAGGAAGTATAAATAAGGGAGTTTAAGGAATGAGATTCCTGGTCCTAAATTGAGATACATCTTCCATGTGTGAGGGGCCAAGGGCCCTTGGGACTGTCATCCTTCTCCAACAGGTACTTTTATTTTTTTTTAAAGTTTATTCATTTTGAGAGAGAGAGAGAGAGAGAGCGAGCATGTGCATGCATGCGTGTGCATGTGGGTGGGGGGTTGCAGAGAGAGAGGGAGAGAGAGAATCCCAAGTAGGCTCTGTGCTGACAGCTGTCTTTCTCTCTCTCAAAAATAAACCAACGTTAAAATTTTTTAAAATAAAAGATGACATGGTTTAAAAGGTGTAGCTTGTGGGTCAGTAAGGGTAGATTCAAATGAAGCTGCCCAAATGAGGAGCAGGCCAGCATCTGGCATGAAGCCATACTTAGCTATAAATAATTCAGTAATAATACTGGATGCATTTTACTCTAGTTCTGGTGAGTTTTGGTTTCCTTCTATTAAAAAAATTTTTTTTTAATGTTTATTTTTGAGAGAGAGCGTGATAGAACATGAGTGGAGGAGTGACAGAGAGAGAGAGGGAGACACAGAATCCGAAGCAGGCTCCAGGCTCTGAGCTGTCAGCACAGAGCCCGACGTGGGGCTCGAACTCAGGAACTGCGATTGGACACTTAACCGACTGAGCCACCCAGGCGCCCCTCGTTCTGTTGGTTTTAAAGGAAACATAGACTCAATCCTTTCAAATAACCTTTGGAGGTTGTAGTTGCCAATACACAAAACTTATTCTCTGAAAAAGATAAAGGATACTCTGCAAAATGAACTTCTGACTATTGTCATCACTCCCCTAAAATCTGTTTGGAAAGCTCATAGATACCATCACCTTTCTTACTGGCTTTTCATGTGAAATTTTAGGAAATCTGACGATTTTAGAAGAAAAACTTTTCCAATATTCTGCCTAGATACTGAATTAGATAAAACTTCAAATACTTTCAGAAATACTTACAGAATACAGATTGAATCCAGGGTTGTAGACTGTCCTAAATCTTTTTTACTGGCTATTCACCTTCTGCCTGCTTAGAAAAGACCCCAGGTTCTTCAGATTGTTGCTTAATATGTTACTGTTTGCATGGAATTATGTAAGAGGATACTAGTGTGTCCAGAAGACAGTTTTACAACTGTGCTCTGTATGTTCTTTACAACTACCCTGTGACTGTCTCAGTTGCCTAATTTTTATTTTGGAGTCTCACTAACCATCTTGGTGCAGTATCTGAAGTTCCAGGCAGTAATAACTGGTTATGCTGTGGGCACTGTAGCTTAATAAGAATAGCTTGGATTTTTAACAGTCCATTTCTAGTCTGTCATGGTCACCTTTCGAGTTCATTTTAATACGTTTATTTTCTAGGAGGCAGCCAAATATGACAAGAAGATATTGGTCCTGGATTTTGTCACTCCAACCCCCCATGGAACTAGATGGGGTAAGCTTTGAAGTATTTTAGAAGTGGATTGGTAGGAGCAGGCTTTTCCCTGGCATATGTTTAAATGGCTCCTAAAACCCAACTGAACATTTAAAAGTTAAATTAAAACAACAAAAAAGATATATGCCTCTTTCACTTGTGCTAAGTTAAAATGGAAATGTTAAATGTTGAAAATTTGGAGTTTCTGGCAGTGTCAGGATGATGCAACACCTTCTCCACAGCTGTCATGATGATTTAAAACCAAAGATTTGAGTAATTTGGTAAACTTAGGGATTTAAGGACTGAAAGTTGAAACACTTACCTGTGGGTTTCTGTTTTGAAACCAGTTCCTACATTCGATAAGAACTGGAATCAGATATCTCAGTGGAGAGCCCGTGCTGCTTCCGAATCTTGTTGAATCAGTGTTCTGCAGTCATTTATTCCACAGATGTTAATTGAACACTTACTGCAAACCAGGGCATTGGAGATGTAGCAGTGGGTGCGGTAGACGTGAAGTTCTTGTCCTTGTGGAGTTTATATGCTAGCGGGGAGACAAGAGATAAGCAAGAACTTTACAAATTATGATGAGTGGTACTAAAAAAAATTATATGGTGGGATAGAGAGGAACTGGGTAGAGGAAAGAGTTTAACTTTGGGAAGATTATCAAGGAAGGCCTCTGAAGAGGTGGCCTTTAAATGAGGCCAAAAGAATAAGAATGAACCAGCTATGCCAAAAGCTGAGGAAGAACCTTCCAGGGGACTTTTCTTGGTCTCTGTCACAGAATAGAACATATAAAGGCCCTGAGGCAGGTGGGAGTCCTTCATGGTGGTAGCATGGGTGATACGAGCTGGAGGTAAGATTAGAGACGAAGGCAGGTGTCAGGCTGTACAGGTCTCAATAGGCCGAGATGAGGAATTGGACCTAATCGAAGCCTAGTAGGAAGCCTTTGAGAAGAGGATTGATGTGATACATAAATATTACCAAGATGACTTAGCTGCTCTCATTAGGAGGCAAGAAGCAGGAACTCTTGGATAAGAGAGTGTCTCACTTTCTAATTCATCCATTCAACAAATATTTATTAGGTGTCAGTGTTGTGTTGGACACTATTCTTTTTTTTTTTTTTTAATTTTTTTTTAACGTTTACTCATTTTTGAGAGACAGAAAGAGACAGAACGTGAGTGAGGGAGGGGCAGAGAGAGAGGGAGACACAGAATTTGAAGCAGGCTCCAGGCTGTGGGCTGTCAGCTCAGAGCCTGATGCAGGGCTCAAACCCACGAACTGTGAGATCATGACCTGAGCTGAGGTCAGATGCTTAACCAGCCGAGCCACTCAAGTGCCCCATTTTTTTTTTTTTTAAGTTCATTTATTTTGAGAGAGAGAGAGAGAGAGAGAGAGGGAGAGAGAATCCCAAGCAAGCAGGCTTCTCATTGTCAGCACAGAGCCCGATACGGGGCTTGAACCATGAGATCGTGACCTGAGCCAAAGTCGAATGCTTAACCTCCTGTGCCACCCAGGTGCCCCAGGCACTATTCTTGTGCTGGGGGTAGCCCCTCTGGCCTGGGGAGGTTGCGCTCCATAGTGGCAGTCTGGAAGCATTCTCCTCAGAAGGCTTCTGTTTGCTGAGCTGTGACGTCTGCTGCCATCTTGCGATCTCACGCCATTTTGTCTGCCTCCCTGCCTGCCTGTATTTTGTTCTAATGGAGACAGTCTAGCGCCATGTTCTTTAGTCTCAGAGATGCTAAAGCTTGTGTTTGTTTTGGTCATGAATCCTTTTGTGAGCATCCATGAAAGCTGTAGACCACCATCTTAAAAAAAATGCTCACATACACCACATTTTATATGTAGTTCCAGACCCACCACAGTCCAACTGTGGCTAGCTTAATAACCCCTTTATCATACAGTTCTGTTCAAAGATTTGGTGGCAAGTATAGGATTGCATGCAAAGTAAAATTTCAATTTCTGGCATATTTATCAGCAGTCAGTTAATTTTGAATTTTTGAGGGTATGGAAATTGTGGAAATCTCATTTTTCTTTTGTTTGAGGGTGAGGTCACTCACTGTGTTTGATACATAAGGCTCTCTGCGCTTAGAAATGCCTTGAAACTTAGGAATGAATTTGCATAAACAGTATTGGGCTACGTTGGGCAAATAAATTATGATCTTTTGTGGCACATTATAATGATTACTGACCTCTTTCTATCAAGGATCGTGAAGCAGGGTATAAACTTATTTCTTGATGTTGTTGCAGGTCTCGGAGGAACATGCGTGAATGTGGGTTGCATACCTAAAAAACTGATGCACCAAGCGGCTTTGTTAGGACAAGCCGTGCAAGACTCTCGAAACTACGGTTGGAAGATCGAGGAGACAGGTGTGGTGGGAGAGGCTGCTTGTGTTTTTGAGGGGTGCGAGCTGTGGTCTGGGGACGCAGCATCCATTTTTACAAGACTGGAGGATAATCTGGAAGTTTTTATTGTTTATGTTTTTTATGTATAAAATGACTGCAATTACCTTGCGTCACTAGCTGCACAGAACGGATACTGTCCTTAGAGTGTCTTTCTGTAATAGAAAACCAGAAATTTTTCAGGGGAGCCTGGGTGGCTCAGTCAGTTAAGCGTCCGACTTCGGCTCAGGTCATGATCTCACAGTTCGTGAGTTCAAGCCCTGTGTCGGGCTCCGTGCTGACAGCTCAGAGCCTGGAGCCTGCTTTGGGTTCTGTGTCTCTCTCTCTCTCTCTGCCCTGCTCATGCTCTGTCTCTGTCTCTCAAAAATGAATAAACTTAAAAAAAAAAAAAAAAAAGAAAACCAGAATTTTTTCAGGTAAATTTGTTTTGTATTATTCCTATTTTGTTTTAAACTAATCTCCTACACCCAGCATGGGACTTGAACTCACGACCTTGAGGTCAGTAGTCATTTGCTCTATCAACTGAGCCAGCCAGATGCCCCTCAAGTCAATTCTTATAATTACATAGAGTTTCATAAGGGAGTGCAAATTTATTTGCTTTCCTTTGAAGTTGTTTTGTTTTTCTCTGTCCAAAGAAATCAGTTTATGAGCGATATTTTTGGGGTGGAGGGACTCTGTTGAGAAAGCGTTGGTTAGTCTTTGGATAAAATATTTAGAGTACCCTAGCAACCCTAGAGAACTTGAAGAGGAATTTGTTGCCTTTAGAAAGTAGGTTGTATTATTTGGTAGAAGAATAAAATGAGGTTGGCACAGCTTCATAGTTAATTAATGACATAGGTCACCGTGTCCTTGAAGAGGGAAACTCTAACCTTATCTAATATTAGTTTCGAGATCTACAGGGTATGGGACATTTGCTAGGGTAAATTATTCTATAAGTTTTTCTGAGTTTTAATTAATAGTTTATTAAATATTAAAAAAAACAAGGCATAAATACATGCTTTGCAAAATTTTGCTCCTACTCAAATTAGTCATGCTTCCTTTGTTTGATGTGTTTACTTCCTGTTTAAAATCAACAGCACTTTTTTTTTTCAAGTCTGGAATCTTAGAAAATCAGTTACTTTAAAAGTTTTCTTACATTGGGGTCATATCTCTTTCCCAGATCCTTACAAGGCTGTTCTCTGTCCGTGACCTTTGGGGCCTCAGGCAGCCTCATGTCCATTTCTCTTTCCAACAAAAAGGGTAGTTGAGCTGATTCCTTTGACCTGTGGAATATGAATCTAACACATAATCTAGCCATAGTCCACCGCTATTCCCACCTCTACCCCCCCCTCCAAGTTACTATTTACTCCCATGTCTGAATGTCTCCCCACCGAGTCTGCCATTAATACACTCTTTCCTTTCGGGAAGCCTACTTTTGTTTTTCTTTTTAAATTAAAAAAATTTTTTTTACAAACCCTTGTGTCGAGGGCTGACGTTCGCTAGATCACAGTGAGGGAGCTGCTCTGCTACATATGAAGCCCGGACCCAGAAGCAGGTCGTTTACGAATGGTTTGGCACCAGGTTCCCCACAAACGCATGTTACGTGATGGGCAAGGGGGACGAGCCTGCTTTTAATGTACCTGGTTCATAAGAGGGTCTCCTTCAGTTAATTTATTAGACTTCTTAGTAGACATTTTAGAAATTTTAGAAATTCTGCTGATAAAGTCATATAATCTTATTGTCGAGCGTCCACTATTTGCAGGTGGGTCTGTGCTGGGGAAATTGAGATGAATAATACAAATTCTGTTAGCATGCAGATTCTGTTAATCACTCATGCACTAACGTCATCGCTGTACAGACCGAGTACCCTGGGAGCCCAGAGGGAGGATGGGTAATGTGATTGAAGTGGTGTCACGTAGTCTTTCCTTTACCCTAGCCTTCCTGACAGCGTTAAAGGTGGGTTATTGTCGTAGCTAGACCTGGGCACAACTTGTGACTTTGCCATTTACTGCCTGTGATGAGGATTGGATACAGTAGTGTGGTAAAATAGCTGCCACTCAGCAAACATTAGTTTCTGTCCTTTCCTCTGGACTTGCTGCTTTTAATTCTTCCGTTCAGAGTTTCAATAAATTAGAGTAGACCCTGGCAAGCACTTGGCAAGCACTTGGTTCTTTGGTTACTGGTTTGTAGGAAAACCTTTACAGATACTAAAGGAAGTTGTATATTTGAACGAAGTTAGTTTCCTCTTAAAGAGGACACGTAACAGGAATATTAATCTGAAAAAGTCTAGAATTTGTTGGAAAAAGTAAGTTTGTTCCGAGCAAATTTTGATTGACGCAGCTTTATAATTTCCATGTACTGTTATCTACGTAGTGGATGCTATCTGTCCCTTAAATCTAGGTAAAAACTGCCGGGGAGCTATACGACTCAACCACACAAATTTTATTCATTCACACAGGGGTCTAGTACTCAAATCGGTATATTGTACTAATTGATGTTAGCTTTAAACTGTCAACTCTTAAGAAAAATGAAGTCATTGGAACAGAATTCTTAATTTAAAAATGTAGGAAGTATATATAGCGGGTGGGTCTTTAGAATCTTAAAAAGATAAGAGTTAAGTACAGGCCTCTGCTGAATGTGGATTTTTGTTAACAGGGCCAAGTGAGTTCATTCTAATAAATTCAGTAACCAGGTGGATGGTGGAATAGAACTTGGTGAATTGGCGGATCTTTCCAGCAAAAGAATATCTCTGTAGCTGTCATGTAACAATAAGGACTGGCTATGCTTATTTATGTTGAATTTATTTCTAAGTTACATAATAAAGAACTAATAAATGTGTAGCCACTGAGGTAATAAAGAGTCACTAGTAGCATGGTCCAGATCCATACGTTAAAACCAGTAAAAGCTCCCTGAATTTCATGGGGTTTTAAAAGTTGGACCAGATCAAAGTTGTTTTATTTGTCTCTCTTTAAAGAAATTATTTATTCAGCTACGTTAACAGTGTTACTTTTGTGTTTCTTCCCCCTTCCCAGGTTTTAACGTTAGAAATACATACTTTTCTGTTTTTAATGCCTTACTCCTCTTGTATTTGTTAGCAGCAGCAATCCCAACGTGTTTGATGAGAGCTGTGCCCTGTATTTAAATCCCTTTACTCTTGGTAAATGGAAACCTAGCCGTTTGTTTATTCTGTTATCTTCAATTTTCTCATGAAGCCTTGGGACCTCTGAAGCTTGCTGTGGCCTAGCAGAAGGAACCAGAGCTGGGCTTGGTGGGAGAGGCCTTCTGTGCCTGCCAGAGTCTACCACTGAGGCAGCAGTAAATTACCTCCCTCCTTTGAAAATGGTTGTGATGAGGAATATAGTGGATTTAAACAAACGTTACTTTATGTCATTAGATCTTAGAGCGAGAAAGAAACTTGGAGGTGTATTTTTCAAATGGGAACCCCCTAGGGGCTGCTGATCCTTGTTCCCACAGATGAAGTGTGAAGGCTCATTTTACATTTTTTGACTAGAAACCTATCTAATCTCAAGTCCTTGACCAAAGAACAGCGCTCTAATTGTCTGGGAGGGTTGTCTTCTCTGAAGCTGCAGATAGCTCCAGGCATGGTGGAGGAGGAAAGGGACCTGGACCAGGCAGCATAGCTGAATCTGCCTGGGACAGGGGTAGGGGGAGTAACACATCCAGGACTCTGTGTGATCTGCCCTTTTCCTAAAGCTCTGAACTGAGAACGTGCAGAGAAAGCCTCAGGCCTTTAAACAAACAAAAACAAACAAACAAACCTGGAGCCCAGTCATGTAAACTGGATGAATTGGTCCTTTCTGGAAGATTTCTTTGCTTTATATATTTTAGATTTATCAATTTGAGTTCCCTGTGCTCAAGAATTAAATCTGCCTTTCAAACATTAAGTATTTGAGGATCCCATTATCATTACAAAGAAAGCAAGATCATTGCAGAGTTACTATTCTGTTCCATTCCTAGTGGAGAAACCGGAAGTGAACTCTATCGTCTTTTTTCTGGTGTTGCTAGGTGGAGGCCAGATGGGCAGGTGGGCAGCGTCCCCCACTCCCGTCGCCCCGCACCTAGTCCTCTTAGAACTGCAGTCACAGTGGCTTCTGCAGTCACTGTCCTTTTAAGTTGAATTGATCTCCCAAAGTCTAACATTTTACGGTTCTGTGAAACGAACACCGATGATCTGTTCTCTAGGAGGCCACAAACCAATTTTTGTGCTGTCATTCCCGATTCCAGACGCTGGCCATTGTGTCTCGTAGACTTGGTTCACCACCTCCTATGTGGTCAAGCTACTTAACCCAGAATCTAAGATTGAGACTCCTCATCTCCATGACAGTCTTTCAGTATATGTTGGTTTTCTTTTCCTTCCTTCTAAACCACAGCTTTCCTGGAATCTGTCTTCATCCTACCACCAGAGTATATTTTCTATGTATCCTATTTTTTTCCTTGTTATTCATGAGGTATTAATTAGTAAATGATTGATTTTTATGCATTGAAGTTCAGTATATTTGTGCCTGACTCAAACGATTCATTTTATAATAGAATTTAAAAATCGTCCTCTCTTTGGTGAGGGAGAGATTTGGGGGGACAGTGAGACAGACTCTCAAAATTCTCTGTCGATACCAAGGGTCAGCAAACTTGTTTTATAAAGGGCCAGACAGTAAATATTTTAGGTTTCATGGGACCTACTGATCTGTCACAACTACTCAGCTCTGTCATCATAGCGCAAAAGAAGCCTTAGACAATGTGTAAATAAACGATCATTGGTGTATTTCAGTAAAACTGCTTATAAAAAAGGTGATGGGCTGCATTTGACTGTGGGGCCTTAATTTGCCTTTGTTTACCAGCCTCTGGTTTATACATTGTTACCAGTTTAGTGACTCCAGACTACATCAAGATCCCTTGGGGATTGTTACAGGGTAGAGAATCCTCCAGGCTTCACCATTACCCCAGCAATCAGTATTTACAATCAAAGTAAGATTCCCGTTCATTTCTAAAGAAGTAAAAAGGGTTATGCATGGTTATTTTAGTTATTATGCGTGGTTATTTTAAGAATTTCCAGGAAGCCTGACATTATGTAATTGTATGGTAGTTTTCTAAAAAAGGAAAGAATATTTGAGCTTGAAAAGGATGTTTATGTGTTTGAAATGAAGGACCCTGCTGCTTTAGACAAAAAGGTCTGCCCTTTGTAACCCATGCGAACAGTTCCTGAGAAGTGATCTTCGCCAGGCGATTGAAAAGCTGAAAACATTTTGTGTTATTTTCTTGTGCAGTTAAACATGACTGGGATAAGATGACAGAAGCTGTACAGAATTACATCGGCTCCCTGAACTGGGGCTACCGGGTCGCTCTGCGGGAGAGAAAAGTGACCTATGAGAATGCATACGGCCAGTTTGTAGGTCCTCATAGGATTAAGGTAATTAATTGTGCGACACCCTGAGGAGCTAATGTTTGTTTGTCTTAAACTTCTGTGAGGGCTAGGGGAGGAAAAGAGAAAGTGATTGTCTTGATAAAAGTAAAAGCCACTGTGACCCAAACTGTCCAGTTTGATGATTTTGCAGACACATCTTCTTATGGGCCTTTTCCGTGTGGTTGTGGCAGTGTAAGAATACTGGATTTGGGGCCAGATTACCTGGATCTGAGTCTTGGCCCTGCCACTTATTAGCCTTATGATTTTGAATAAGTCCGTTAATTTCTTAGAGCCTTAGTACGTATTACCAAATTTTTATGAGGATCAAATTGGATAATGTGGCGAATGGCCTCTGTTCACTATAACTACAATTTTAATGAACACTAGCTTATTAAAAGTTGGCACTTGGTTTCTTTGTAGGCAACAAATAACAAAGGCAAAGAAAAAATTTATACAGCAGAGAAATTTCTCATTGCTACTGGCGAGAGGCCACGGTATCTGGGCATCCCTGGTGACAAAGAGTTCTGCATCAGCAGGTGAGGGGGCACCGGAGGGAGAAGAGGAGGCACCCGTTGTTGAGTTCTACTTTTCAGTTGTTTTCTTCAAACCCATTTAGTCCATTTCCTAGAACTTCCGAGGGTTTTTTTTTATTTTTTTAAATTTTTTTTATTTTTTTTATTTCTGTGTTTCTGCCCAAAGGGACAGGGGCCTGGGAAAAACGGAAGGGAAAAAATTCTTTTATGCAAGAGAACATTTAAAAAATTCAAAACTATAAACATGGGTCTTTCTTACCACCCACTTAACATCACTGTTAACATATAAATACATACTTATATTGAAACTTCTGTTTGAAATTTATACATGTGTGAGCATGTTTTGTAAACGTGTTAACATACTATAGTTGCCGAATGTGTCCTCTTGGATGCTTTCTGCTGAGGAGTTTCTGCTCATGGTACACATTATTTCTTCTCAGTCCCTTTTTCGGGAGGGGTATGTGACTTTTTTTCCTTTGCACCTCATACAGGGGCAGCTCAGATGGCGACTGTTGTCTTCTCCGTCTTGGATGGGTTTCCTTCTCATATTTAAAAAAAAACTCATTTCCTAAAAATGCTTTTGTGATCCCTCTCACGTCTCGTGTATTCTTTACTTGGCTAAAAGATTTTGTCAGCTTTTACTCTTTATAGTTGGTTTTTATATGACAAAACAGTTATGTTGGAAGTTTTCCCCTACTCCTCTCTTGCTGATTCGTGTTCTGGATAGATCTTCCACCTCGGAGACTGTGTTTGGCTATGGGCAGCTTGAGCTGCTCCCAGAGCAACTGAGTGGCAAGAAAGGAACTGGGTCTAAGCCCTTGTAAATAGTTTTCATAGATTACGTATGTAGCCAATTGAATGTTTTTAGTTTTTAAAAGTGTATTCTTAAAGCAAAAATATTTACTTTGATTCAGTCATTACTCACGTAGGAACATTTTCAATTTCTTTCTTTTCTTCCCCACCCCCCCCCACTCTTTTTTTTTTTTTTTAATTTCTTTTCAGTGATGATCTTTTCTCCTTACCTTATTGCCCGGGTAAGACCCTGGTGGTTGGAGCATCGTACGTCGCCTTGGAATGTGCTGGATTTCTTGCTGGCATCGGTTTAGATGTCACTGTTATGGTACGATCCATTCTCCTGAGAGGATTTGACCAGGACATGGCCAACAAAATTGGCGAACATATGGAAGAACATGGTGTCAAGTTTATAAAACAGTTCATACCAATAAAAGTAAGTGGGGTTGCTGGTAGGTTTGTTGGTTTCATACTCCTGTTTAGGCAGGAGAGAGAGGGTTGGGGTAGGTGATGGAAGCGTTCCTTCTGCGGTCTAAACCATCGAGAGTGCTGCAGTTTCTCAGCTGTGATGTTGCTATATGAACTTGTACCCACTGCCACCTGAAGAGCTTTGTTCTTCTCTGCAGCTCAGTAATTTCTTTATTCTCATCTCACCCTTCTTACTCTTAGTTCTCTTCTGTTTAATGTTTCCCTTCATACATTCCTTCACTTTATAATCTTTGGTCTGTTATCCTTTGTTTCTTTGTACACACCAGTGATTGAAATAAGAGTTCAAGACTCGGCTGATTTTTAAACGCTCTTCATGAGAAATTTGTCCTTGTGTACCATGTAGTCAACAGATACACTGTATTATTCTGGCTTCTCTGAAAATGATTATCTAAATTTGTTACATAGGCTCCCCGTTTTTTTTTTTCTGCTTATTTAGTCTCCTTTTGAAAAGGTGGAAAAATATGCCAAGTTACATTGGGAATTGTTAACACCATCACAAATATTTTGATATATAAAAGTGACAAAATCAATCACTTCTCATATCTCTAATAGATGAGTTTCCTTTAGTGCAGGTAAGGATGAGACTGTTGTGTTAAAGTTAAGGAATTTTGGCTGTCATTTGCTCAGTGGGTTAACTTAGGCCCTTTGGGTGACCATGTTAAGAATCGCTTCATGTTGGTAAGAGTTCGAGCATTGGGATGAGAATGACCTACTTTCAATACTGTCCTACCATTTTCTTGCTGTATGTCTTTGGGGAAATTATTGAACCTCTCTGAGCTTCAGTTTCTTCCATAAAATTAGGATAATAACAGCAGCTATCTCAGAGTTCTTGTGAAGATTGCGTTAGCTGACACTTAGGAAGTAATTAGAACAGTACCTGGCACAGAGTAAGTCTAATACTGTTGTGAGGGTGAAGCAGCACAGGTCCTGGAAGTTACCGCTACTTGATTCCTGGAGATGTCTTTTAGGGAGTAGAAGTACATGTGATACATTTGCCTTAGGGCTGTGGTTAGAAAACAGCTGTACATACAAGTTGTGCGATGGAAAAGTAACATCTGCTTCTATGATGTCTATTTTTAATTCCAACATGCAGGGCAACATGCAGTGTTACATTAGTTTCAGGTGTACAATACAGTGAGTCAACACTTCCACCCTTTACTCACTGCTCATGAGAAGTGTGTTCTGTGTTTTTGTTTTGTTTTGTTTTGAGAGAGAGAGAGAGAGAGAGCATATAAGCAGGGGAGAGGGTCAGAGGGGGAAAGAGAGAATCTTAAGCAGGCCCCGCACTCAGCATGGAACCCAGCTTGGGGCTCGATCCCTTGACCCTGGCATCATGACCTGAGCTGAAGTCAAGAGTTGGACTATTAATCGACTGAGCCACTTAAGTACTCTGAGAAGTGTGATCTTAATCCCCATCACCTATCTCACCCATCCCCCACCCACCTCCCCTCTGGTAACCCTCTGTTGGTTTTCTGTAGTTATGAGTCTGTTTCTTGGTTCATCTGTTTGTTTGTTTTTTTTTTTAATTTTTTTTTAATGTTTATTTTTGAGAGAGAGAGAGAGACAGAGTGTGAGCAGGGCAGGGGCAGAGAGAGAGAGAAACACAGAATCTGAAGCAGGCTCCAGGCTCCAAGCTGTCAGCACAGAGTCCGATGCGGGGCTCAAACTCACGAACTGTGAGATCATGACCTGCGCCAAAGTTGGATGCTTAACTGACTGAGCCACCCAGGTGCCCCATGGTTCATCTGTTTTTTTTCTTTTGTTCATTTGTTTTGTTTCTTAAATTACATATATGAGTGAAATCATGTGGTATTCGTCTTTCTCTGACTGGCTTATTTCGCTTAGCATCTGTGTTGTTGCAAGAGGCAAGATTTCATTCTTTTTTATGGCTGAGTAATCATTTTTTATATAAACCACATCTTTATTCATCTACCGATAGACACTTGGGTTGCTTCTGTAATTTGGCTGTTGTAAATGATGCTGCGATAAGCATAGGGGTGCGTATATCCTTTCGCATTAGTGTTTTTGTATTCTTTGGGCAAATACCTGGTAGTGCAATTACTGCATCACATATGGTAGTTCTGTTTTTTTCTTTAGCTTTTCTTGTTGTTGTTGTTTTATTTTTTTTTTCCTTTTGCTTAAAATGTTTTCCACATTGCTTTCTTCTTCTTCTTTTTTTTTTTTTTTTGTTGTTGTTGTTTTAAAGAGCGAGAGAAAGTGCAAACAGAGGAGGGGCAGAGAGAGAGAGAAAGGGAGAGAATCTTAAGCAGGGTTCACTGGCAGCACAGAGCCCAAGGCGAGGCTTGGTCCCACGACCCTGTGACCATGACCTGAACTGAAATCAAGAGTCGGACGCTTAACTGACTGAGCCACCCAGGTGCCCCAGTGGTTCTGTTTTTAATTTTTTAAGGCTCCTCCAGAATGGCTGCACCAGTTTCTATTCCCGCCAATAATGCATGAGGGTTCCTGTTTCCCTACATCCTTGCCAACGCGTGTTTATGTTTTTTGATTTTAGCCATTCTGACAGGTGTAAGATGATACCTGATTGTGGTTTTGATTTGCATTTCCCTGATGATGAGTGATGTTGACCATCTTTCCCTGTGTCTGTTGGCCACGTGGATGTCTTTGGAGAAATGTCTGTTCATGTTTTCTGTCCATTTTTTAATTGGATTTTTTTGTTGGTATTGAGTTGCATAAATTCTTTATTTTTTTAATAAGTTCAGTATATATTTTGGATACTAACCCTGTATTAGGTATGTCATTTGCAGATATCTTCCCCCATTCAGTAGGTTGTCTTTTAGTCTTGTTGATTGTTTTCCTTTGCTGTCTGTGCAAAAGGTTTTTATTTTTTATTTATTTTTAAAAAATTTTTTTCAACATTTATTCGTTTTTGAGAGACAGAGTGTGAGTGGGGAAGGGGCAGAGAGAGGGGGAGACACAGAATCCGAAGCAGGCTCCAGGCTCTGAGCTGTCAACACAGAGCCCGACGCGGGGCTCGAACTCATGGACTGTGAGATCATGACCTGAGCTGAAGTCGGACGCTCAACCAACTGAGCCACCCAGGTGCCCCCAAAAGGTTTTTATTTTGATAAAGTCCCAATAGTTTATTTTAATTTTTGTGTCCCTTGCTTTAGGAGACATATCTTAGAAAGATGTTGCTGTGGCTGATGTCATAGAAAGTACTGCCTGTATTGTCTTCTAGGATTTTTATGGTTTCAGTTCTCTCATTTAGATCCTTAATCCATCTTGAGTTTATTTTTGTGTATAGTATAAGAAAGTGGTTCAGGGGCGCCTGGGTGGCGCAGTCGGTTAAGCGTCCGACTTCAGCCAGGTCACGATCTCGCGGTCCGTGAGTTCGAGCCCCGCGTCGGGCTCTGGGCTGATGGCTCAGGGCCTGGAGCCTGTTTCCGATTCCGTGTGTCCCTCTCTCTCTGCCCCTCCCCCGTTCATGCTCTGTCTCTCTCTGTCCCAAAAATAAATAGAAACGTTGAAAAAAAAAATAAAAAAAAAAAAATAAGAAAGTGGTTCAGTTTCTTTTCTTTCCTTTTCTTTTTTTTTTTTTTTTGCACGTAGCTGTCCAGTTTTCCCAACATCATTTGTTAAAGAGACTTTTTCCCATTGCATATTCTTGCCTCCTTTGTTGAAGGTGAATTGACCATTCCTTTATAATGTCTTAACATTTGGAGAGTTGTGGGCCCTTTTGAGAATCTCATAGACTATCCCCTAGTGACATAAACCTGTGTCTGTGCACATTAACATTTTACCTGGGTTACCAAGGTGTCTCTGATCTCCTTGGGTCACGGTGAACACATGCTGTGTTATTCAGTGACCTGATAGAAGCGGCCTTTGGCAGGGAGGAAGGCGAGAGCGCATTGTGTGATGTGCACAGAGATTGTGGGGAATAAAGTCGTTCTAAATGCAGAAATTGTTGTAGGCATAGGAAAAGCCTAACTGGAACACAAAAGTGAGTGAGGCAGGAAGGAATTAGAGGTGAGATGAGGCCCTTATCATTTTTCGGTAAATCTGAGCTAATGCAGGTAATCTGACTAATGCAGCTCTTCTCCAAAGATTAGATTATAGCTTAACTACGAGAGACATTTTTGGTATGTTCAGATGGGCTTAACTATGTAAGAAGGAAGGACTTTGAGAAGGAAATTTTTGCTACTTATTAATGGTGAAAGTAAAATGACCCTTGGCCATTTTCCCATGCAGAGTGGTTGCATTTAAAAGGTAGAGTAGAAATTGCAGGTGACTTTATGAGTTTCTCCCAGTAAATATTTTACAGGAACCCATGATTTGCTGCCAGTGCAGAGACCAAGGTTAACTGCAGGCTTGCAGAAGCCTCTAGGTGATAAGGGTTTTCATTTGTTGCAACGCAGTCTGAAGGTTATTGTTGACATCCAGGAGTGGTGAGCTGGTATGTTTAATCTCATCTGGCATAGTGCACGTTCCGGGGCTTGCTTGTTCTTCCCTACATCTTGAACAACGAAGACCACCCCTCGTCCTTATAAACGTACCTCCTTGCTCACTATGCTTTTTAGGGCTTTCTGGTTGTTTACCTGTATCATTTTGATCTACTCCAGTGTCTGTTCTTTGTTGACAAAGCTGAACGTCTGTAGCCAGAAGACAGTCTCTGAATTTGAGCAGTAGTGGCTCTCCAGGGGATTGAGGGCTCTGGGTGAGTTACGAGAGAGTAGCCTGGGAAAAGCGACGTCATTAGCTGTGTTTTAGGGATTGTAGTGTCCTTTCTCTGGCTTTTTCCTTTCCCACTTTTTTCTCTTTGAATTTTATTCTGTTTGGGAACTATTGGAAAGAAAGCCCCTCTAGCAAACATTAAGCAGCAAGAAAAAGGGGGATAAAATAGAAAAATCTCTTACTGTCCTAATGATGTTATGGTGAGGGGGGTGGGACATGAAAGACCTCTCACGCCAGATTTTGTGTTTTCACTTTGGGTCAACCTGATAGGAGGGAGTTGATACAGGTCTTTATTGTGGAGTAAAACTTTGTCACTTTTATAGGTTGAACAAATTGAAGCAGGGACACCAGGCCGACTCAGGGTGGTAGCCCAGTCCACCAGTGGTGGTGAAACCATTGAAGGAGAGTATAATACGGTAAGGAATGGACCCAGGTTAGCCCTTTATTAGAAAGCAAATAATGTGCTTATTGGATATTTGGATATTTGCTGGGTACATGTAATGGCTGCTTTCTATTTTCAAAACCTGATTATGTTCCTATTCTCTGTATTGCTTGTGATATTATAATTTGTTTTGGGATAGGGATGGCTTCAAATTTTCTTCCATGTAACTTAAAAATATCATTTGTCAAATAGCTATAAAAAGACATCCTTTTTATCGTTTATTTATTTTTGAGACAGAGAGAGACAGAGCATGAACGGGGGAGGGGCAGAGAGAGAGGGAGACACAGAATCTGAAACAGGCTCCAGGCTCTGAGCGGTCAGCACAGAGCCCGACGCAGGGCTCGAACTCACGGACCGCAAGATCGTGACCTGAGCCGAAGTCGGCCACTTAACCGACTGAGTCACCCAGGCGCCCCAAAAGACATCCTTTTTAAATGAAGTAGAACTTCTCTGTCCTTCAAAATTTTATCTTCATAGCTCACTACTTTAAAAAAGAAAAACAAAACTTAAGGGGTGCCTGGGTGGCTCAGTCAGTTAAGCTTCCAGCTTCGGCTCAGGTCATGATCTCACCATTGGTGAGTTCTAGCCCCGCATTGGGCTCTGTGTTGACAACTTAGAGCCTGCAGCCTGCTTCGGATTCTGTGTCTTCCTCTCTCTCTGCCCCTTCCCTGCTTGCACTCTGTCCCTCTCTCTCAAAAATAAACCTTTAGAAAAAAAAAAAAAATCTTAAAAAAAAAAACTTAATTCAGTCATAGGCTATGTTGTCTTTGTCTCTAAACTTCACTAGATTTATAAAGGAATTGCCAACTTTTTTCCTTAATCAATGGATGAGGATTTCTGCTATATCCTGTTCAAGGGATTTTTTGTTTGTTTGTTTGTTTGTTTTAATTTGCTTAAACTCTTGCATTTTTTTTTAAGTTTATTTATTTTGAGGGAGAAAGAGTGGGGGGGGGGCGGCAAAGAGAGAGAATCCCAAGCACGTTCTGCACTGTCCGTTGATAGTGCAGAGCCCAGTTCAGGGCTCAGACCCACAAACTGAGATCGTGACCTGAGCTGGAACCAAGAGTCAGACACTTAACTGGCGGAGCCACCTGGGTGCCCCATAGACTCTTACGTTATTTTCTTAATGAAATATTTCTTTACAGGTCTGGAAAGTGAAATCAGAGTAGCTTAATGGTTAAGTAACTTATGTGAAGTCTTTTTAATCATACTCACCTGGTATATTAATATTTTTTCAGGTATTGCTGGCAATAGGAAGAGATGCTTGCACAAGAAAACTTGGCTTGGAAACCGTGGGGGTAAAGATAAATGACAAGTAAGAAAAAAATTTTATTGTGTCTTACTGAATATTATTTCAGTTGTTGATAATACTGATTAATAGTGGAGTTTTAGATTGTTAGAGTTAGTTTTTATCATAGTTGGAGATTTCCCTTTTTAAGCCTAGAGATCTCTTCCTTCAGTGCCACTCACGTTGGTATTTTCTCTTTGTTTTATTTTGTTTTTTCCTTTTCAAAATCTAAGTGGAAGATAGGGCGGCTTGCAGTTTGTTTCTTTAATGTGCAGTGTATAGAATAAAAGAGTCTAACCCCCCAGTTAATTGCAGGCATGTGCTTTGAGCTTTACTAAATAATACGTAGATCTGAACCATGTTGAGAGCTACTAAGTTTTAGGATGATGAGTGGTCACTGCATTTCTAGTGACAGCTACAAGTATGAAAAACTTACTTGCAAGGGTTGAAGTTAAAATCCTTTGGCCTATAGCAGTAGAGGAGATAACTGAGACTCAGTGGTATCTGCTTACCTGCTGTCTGGGGTATTTCCCAATATCACCTTCCTTACAGCCAAGTAGAAACAAGTGCTGTGAGTGGGAACTGCCTTGGAAGCTAAAAAATAAAGGTGGTTTTGTTTTGTTTTGTTTTTGTCCCTTCTAGGAATAACATCTATTCTGGAGAAGAGACTTCCTAATCTTAGTGTGAGGATTTTTGTTTTACTTATTTTTTAACTAGGGTAGACAGACAGAATTGTTGAGGTCACCAATAAGATTTAGCAGACCAAATATTGCACCAGCATAATAAACATGCTAGCCTATTTCCAGGGGGTCCAAAGCTTAGATTTTATATAATGGAAGCAGCTAACACTTATTCTGCACTTACTGTGAGCCGTGGACCGTTGTGCTGAATATTTTGTACCTATTTTCATTTAATCCTCACAGCCCCTTAAGGTAGTTGGTGGCATCCCTTTTCTTCTTACAGTGTTCTCATTATTATTGTTCGCACTAATAGGGGGGAAAATAAAGCTCAGAGATATTAAATAGCCCTCCCAACATCATAGAGGTGACAACTAACAGACCTATAGTTTAGAATACACATATTCTTGACCACTCTGTTGTAGTTTTCTCCCAGGTTTTCTTACAGTTTTCTTATTCCAGAATTGTCTCTAAGCTTTTAAAATACTCATTTATTTTTATTTTATTTTATGTATGTAGGTATGTATGTATTTTTAAATAATACGTTAGAATGCTGCCCTTTGCTAGAGTCACAATTTTGGCTTCTTTGGGAGAAAGGGGAATTTTTTTGTTCCCCTTAATTAATAGGAGTAATTGATGATTTTAACTGAATGAATTTTCAGGACTGGAAAAATACCCGTCACAGATGAAGAGCAGACCAACGTGCCTTATATCTATGCCATCGGCGATATATTGGAGGGGAAGCTCGAGCTCACCCCAGTAGCAATCCAGGCAGGGAGACTGCTGGCTCAGAGGCTCTATGCTGGCTCCAATATCAAGGTGAGCTTGTGGCTGACACCTGTTGATACTGGTTTTAGTAACACCACTAGTTCTCGAGGGGTAGCTGTGAAGTTTTCCAGGTCTTGAATAATTTAGTTCTCTTGCTGGTGGCATCCTACATGTGCTCTATTAACTGTATTCCAAACAAGACATCGTTAAGACTGCTGTGTCTTTGTGACTTTGTTATGAAAATTGTCGTTCCTGGAATCACACTGGGAAAAAATGAGCTTGACTAATCAAGTTTCAGCACTATTACTGTGTTCCATATTCTCATAATAGTTGGATTTTACCCTAATTTCATTGTTGCCAATTTCAGTATAATTTTCTAAATCTTTTTATGACACCTATCTAGGCTATACAAGGATTTGGGGATCTAGGTGGTAATCATGTGCAGAGCTGCTTAAACCAGAATTCAGGCTTTATTACCCTGTCCTTTCTAAAAATATGTCTTCCGCTCTTGGAATGCTTAATGTGTTATATTAATGTTTTAAAGTGATTTTTTTAGTCATTGTAGGAAATTGAAACTCTTAAGTATGTTTCATGAGACTAGATGTCATGGAAGGAATAAATATATTCTGATTATTTTTTAAGCTTATTTTTTAGAGCAGTTGCACGTTCACAGCGAAACTGAGATGAAGATCCGAGATTTCCTGTGTTAGTCCCTGCCTGCATACATGCATGGCCTTCCTCATTACCAACATTCCCTCCCTAATTAATTTTTTGAAAGGATTCCAGGAGCATAGATTGTAAATAATTTAGTCGCTACCCATTTTTCTTGCACATAATCATCATGGGTTGATTTATGTTGGTTTCGGGAACAGAAACCTCAAAGAACACAGCTTGTCAAATTTGTGACAAGCATTCCCAGTGCACCTGGGGTTAGTTTGCATAATCGTATAATAAGACCTCATGTTTTGAAATGAACAGGATTGAGGCTAAAAAGAGTTTGAATCCCAGATTGTCTGATCATCCAGGACGTATAGCATCTGGTTCATATTACTGTTTGGGTACATTTAACTGCTTCTTTGAGTGAGTCCTGTTTTGTGTTCATTGTTGCAGTTACTGACCAGTAAACTGAGAAAAGCGTATCTACAGATATAGCTTGAGATGCATTTGATTTGCTCTTGACCCTGTGTCTTTGTGTTTCCCTAAAGTGGAGATATTTTTATATACCAACAATAACCAAAGGGAGCACTTACAAAAATCTACTCCTAAATAAATTTGAAGTTAAAAGTAGCACAAAACTCTTCAAAACCTTTCCTGAATGTTTGCACCCGCTTTGGACATAGACAGCCTTCCATGTGTGGGTGTGGTGCTGTATTCTGTCCTCTGCTCGGTAGAGCAGGTGTTTTCTGAGAGGGCCAGAAGCTTTTATCAACGTCAGAATTTAGTGTAAGTTAAAATTAAAAGACTCTTTTTTGTTTTTTTCCTTATCTGTAGTCTAATAATAAGACAGATGCTTGACCAAATAGGAAGATCAACAGGTGCTGCTCAGGTCTCTGAGTTTGAAATCTTACTGGTCTGTTCATCAGTGTAGTAAATAAAGTCGAAATGCCAGCAGGTATCAAGGTTAAATGTATTGGGGGAAATCACATATTTTTTTTTAAGCAACTGCATAATTCCTTTAATTTCGCCCAATGTGTGTGAGAACGTTAGCACATATCAGAGAGGTGAGGGAATCCATGCCTGCCTGTCTCCCGAAGAAGCAGCTGTCTATGGAAAAGTTTAGCTTAACATAAACACCTGGCTGAGTTTAATCCCTTGTGGGATTTTAAGAGAGCCCAGATTGAATTGTGGGTGTTCGTGCCTTCCTCCAAAATTGCTGTCATCTATTCCTCATCGCTTCCCAAGAGTGTTCAGAGGAAAGGAGACAGAGTGTGACGTTTGAGTACTTGGGACATGCCTGGTAATGTGCTAAGTGCTTTGTATGCATTGTCTCATTCAGCCTCAGGGCAGCTATGGAGATTGCTGACACAGTCCAGGGAGATTAGGTAACTGTGCAAAGTCACAAGGCTGGTAGGCAGCCAAAGCATAAATGGAAGTCTCCAGTACTGCTGTCTTTTTTTTTTTTCTTTTTTACATTTATTTATTTATTTAAAAAAATTTTTTTTTTATTTTTAACCTTTATTTATTTTTGAGACAGAGAGAGACAAAGCATGAATGGGGGAGGGTCGGAGAGAGGGAGACACAGAATCTGAAACAGGCTCCAGGCTCTGAGCTGTCAGCACAGAGCCCAATGTGGGGCTCGAACTCACGGACTGTGAGATCACGACCTGAGCCGAAGTCGGACGCTTAACCGACTGAGCCACCCAGGCGCCCCTACATTCATTCATTCATTCATTCATTAATTTATTTTTCAACATTTTTTATTTATTTTTGGGACAGAGAGAGACAGAGCATGAACAGGGGAGGGGCAGAGAGAGAGGGAGACACAGAATCGGAAACAGGCTCCAGGCCCTGAGCCATCAGCCCAGAGCCTGATGTGGGGCTCGAACTCACGGACCGCGAGATCGTGACCTGGCTGAAGTCGGACGCCCAACTGACTGCGCCACCCACGCGCCCCTTATTTATTTTTTGATAGAGACAGAGCATGAGTGGGGGGGGGTAGCAGAGAGAGAGGGAGACACAGAATCCAAAGCAGGCTCCAGGCTCCAGGTTCCAGGCTCTGAGCTGTCAGCACAGAGCCCGACAAGGGGCTCGAACTCATCAGCTGTGAGATCATGACCTGAGCCGAAGTCGGACGCTTAACCAACTGAGCCACCCAGGCGCCCCTGTAGTACTGCTGTCTTACTCATGATGATTTATTGCCTAAGAAAGAAGATTTGGAAGGTATAGATCATAGAAGAATAGGGGATGGGATAGGAATGATGTTTCCTTACTTTTTTTTTTTTAAATTTATTTGTTTTGAGAGATACAGAGCACAAGTGGAGAAGGGGCAGAGAGGGAGGGAGAGAAGGAGAATCCCAAGTAGGCTTTGCGCTGTCAGCGCTGAGCCCGATGCAGGGCAACCCCACGAAGCTGGGAGACCGTGACCTGAGGCGAAACCAAAAGTTGGATGCTCGACCAACTGAGCCACCCAGGCACCCCAGTCTCCAGACTTTTAAAGAATCTACCAATTTGCAAACACCTCTGTAATGTGTAATTGTCCTAAATGAAGTGGAAAATACATTGGGAAAATTTAACTGAACCTTTTTAACACTTAATAATGATTAACATCATTTTCAAAACTTAAAAATATTTGCCACTAAATACTAAATATTCCATTCTTTAGGGAACACAAATGAAGGAATGAAAAAAAAGTTTTCATCATTTCAAAAACTGATAGAGAACAGACTATAAAGCTGAGTCAGCCTGTGGATGACAGATATTCCACTAAGCCCTTTTTTTTTTTTTTTTTTTTTTTTAAAAAAAGCCCACTGGTAAGATACATGTACAAACTTTAAAGCACAGTGTGATGGGCACTTCAGCAGAGTGAACCGTTGTTTTCTCTTGGATCTTTTTAGAATTGCTCTCAAACACTTGAAATTTATAAAGAGTAAACATTAGCATCTTTATTATTAAGGTGCTACTTTATTAGTTAACTCAGTTTTATAGTAAATGGAAAATATTTTATGGTCACCTGGCTGACTCATTTGGTAGAGCATGCAACTCTTGATCTCAGAGTCATGAGTTCAAGCCCTGTGTTGGGTGTGGAGACTACTTAAAAGATATATAGATATATATAAAAATAGATATATATATAAAATATATATATCTCTATATATATCTGTAGATATATATATATTATATATATATTATTTTATTTTTTTATTTATTTATTTATTTTTTAACGTTTATTTATTTTTTTGGGACAGAGAGAGACAGAGCATGAACAGGGGAGGGGCAGAGAGAGAGGGAGACACAGAATCAGAAACAGGCTCCAGGCTCTGAGCCATCAGCCCAGAGCCCGACGCGGGGCTCGAACTCACGGACCGTGAGATCGTGACCTGGCTGAAGTCGGACGCTTAACCGACTGCGCCACCCAGGTGCCCCCTATAAATATTTTTATATATTTATATATATAAAATATTTTCTGTGGAAACTCTGGAGCAGCTACAGTACACATATCTTTAAAAGTTCATTAAGTTGATTGTTGTGAAAACTGCCGAGTACGCTTTCCAGATAAAAGTGTTAGAAACGAGGATTACATTTTCCAGGCTAGGCCACAACGGTCATTTAAGTCGATTGGAAACTGCATTTTGGAACCTGGAAGAAACTGGTCTTTTTATGTGAATGCAGGTTTCCATCTGATACACCTTTTTCTGCCTGAAGAATTTCCTTTCACAGTTATTGAGTGTGTGTCTGCTCCTAGTGAATTCCTTTTCTCCTCTTTGTTGGTGGTGGTGGTGGTTTTTGTTGTTGTTGTTTATTTTACTTCCATTTGGTGGGGGGGGGAGATATTTTTGCTGAATATTGAGTTCTAGACTTACTGTGTTTCTTTAAATACTTTAACAATTTGCCTACTATTTCTGGTTGCATAGATTCTGAACAGAAGTATGCTATCATTGTTATCTTTATTCTTCTTTAGATTTTTTTTGGTATCAGTGATTTTTAGCAGTTAACTGCTAAATTGTTGTATGCGTTGGCATGCTTTTTCTTATATTTATTCTGCTTAAGATTTGTCAGGATTCTTGGATTTATCTGTTTGCCTTTGTCATCAAGTTATTTTTTCCCCTCAGCCTCCAGTTAATGAATGTTGGCTCACTCAGTATTATCCTGTCGGTCTCTGATGCTCTTTTCATGGTCTTTCCCCCTACCCCTTTCTGCGCATTATTATTATTTTTTTTTTTAATTTTTTTTTTCAACATTTATTTATTTTTGGGACAGGGAGAGACAGAGCATGAACGGGGGAGGGTCAGAGAGAGAGGGAGACACAGAATCGGAAACAGGCTCCAGGCTCTGGGCCATCAGCCCAGAGCCTGACGCGGGGCTCGAACTCACGGACCGCGAGATCGTGACCTGGCTGAAGTCGGACGCTTAACCGACTGCGCCACCCAGGCGCCCCTGCGCATTATTTTCTTAGAGAGCCTGATCAAGTTCAAGTCTGCTGATTTCTCCACTTCTTAGGCTATTAATTCTGTATTGTGTAATTTGCGCTTCAACTGGGTTTTTTCATCTCTACTAGTTTTATTTAAAATGTTTTCCTTTTCTCTCCTCAGGAAGTTCATGTTTTTCTCAGTTTTCTACATATTTATAGTAGCTCATTTAATGTCCTCTATCAATTCTGTCATCTATTTTTCAGTGTCTCTTTCTGTTCATTGGTGTTTCTTGGTATTGGCTCACATGTTCTTGCTCCTTTGCATGTCTTGTTAATTTGGAAGGATGTGGACGTTGTATGTTGAACATTTTACATTGTTGGGTGTCAGGTTTTATTGAATTCCTTTATATGGTGTTCAATTTTGCTCTGACAGCCTGTTAAGGTACATGGAATTAGTTTTATCCTTTTGTAACTTGCTTTTAAAAGCTTTTTTAGGGCCTGCCAATAACCACTTTTTATCTAGGGCTGATTTGGTTCCACCACTAAACTGATGCCTTTTGGAGAACTCCACCCCATTCCTCTTACTTTATGAATTCTTTCTGCTTTGGCTTCAGGGAACCGAAACTATTTCCAGTCCCATAAGACTCTGGGGGCCTGCTGCTTACTGCTCTCCCGTGGTTCTTTACTCACCCTTGAATCCCTCTTGTGACACATTTACAGATCAGTTCTCAGCCCAAATCTCTGCAGATGTCAAGAGTTTTTTTTGTGCAGCTCTGCCCTCGGGGCCTCCGCCGTGCAGCTTCCAGCCTCCGTAACTCAGAGATACGGCTGTGCTCTGTTTGGTTTCCCTCTTGTTGCACCCAGTCCTCAGGAAGTGCTCTGGGCAGTAAACTAGAGAAATCTCCAGGCTCGCCTCATTCGTTTCCCTTCTGTCAGGATCACAGTCCCGCACTGCCTGTCGTCCCGTGTCCGGAAGTGTTTGTCGCCTGCTGTTTGGTGGTCTAGTTGTTGACAGCAGGAAAGTAAATTGGTCCCTGGCATACCATTATGGCTGTACATGGATGTCTGCCTTCACTTTTGTTTTATTTTTTTTATTTCTATTTGAGAAGGGTGGGGGGACAGAAGATCTGAAGCGGGCTCCTTGCTGATGGCAGAGAGCCTCATGCGGGGCTCGAACTCACGAACCCGAACCATGAGATTATGACCTGAGCCGAAATTGGACACTCAACTGACTGAGCCACCCAGGCGCCCCTACCTTTACTTTTGATTCAGAATTCCAAGGGTTTATGCTCTTTTTAGAGAAAAAGAATTATATTTATTGTTTCTAGAGGGAGACACATTTTAAAGATTTTTACACTAGTGTTTTAAAGAATGAGAATTGAGAATTGAATTTCCAATATTTTAAATGCAGAATGTTACTTATTAGGCTCACCTCTGTGTACTGATGTGACTGGTAGATTTTTACCCACTAGCATTTACAAACGTGTTTGGCACTTACATAATACCTTTTCCACAATTCACATCTGTATACTGAAGGCTCTGAGAAATCAGTAGTAGAGAAACCTGTTTATTTGCCTAATCCAGCGCTTCACAGACTTGTTTGACTTCAGAACCCTTTAGTCATCTGCATTGTTAACATCATAAAATATGCTTTGGAAATACTGTCACTAACTTTTTCTGTTTCTGTAGTCTTCATTCCCGCTTCAGTGGCTGCATAATGATACACTGAGAGTATGAACCACTTTCCTGTTTGCCCTTGGGATTTGCTAATCCCAAGAGACAGCCGCTGTTGAGTGCTGCAGAGTGCTCCATTAACGCATGTAGCTTTTTCTAGACGGTAAATTATTATTATAGAATGCTAAGAGTGGGGTTCTTGGCACAAGGGTAAAGAATGTTTTTATGGCTCTTAATAGGCGTTACCTAATTGATTTCCCAAAAGACGTCTATTAATTCCTGTCACCAAGATGAGACTCTTAGCGTCGGGTGCACTCGTATTGTTTTTGGCTTCTTGATAAAGGGAGAAGCAGTGCGTCCTTGTTGACATCGGTTGGTTGACGGACGGAGCAGGCGTGACTGGTCTTGCCAGGTTTCACACCTTTCCTGAAATGATCACATGAGTTGATGGTTCTCAGCACAGTAGGTCTGATATTTGGGTTTCTGACTTCCCATACCTTTGGTAGAAATTTATTAGTCTGCTTTCCCCTCCTAAGTTTGAACCTTTTTTGCCATACACCCTTTTTTGGGTTACAATTTCTCCTGTTGTAACTCTTCTCTTCATTTTGAACCAGTGTGACTATGAAAATGTTCCGACAACTGTGTTTACTCCTTTGGAGTATGGTGCTTGTGGTCTTTCTGAGGAGAAGGCTGTGGAGAAATTTGGAGAAGAAAACATTGAGGTAAGTTACACCCTCCTCTGTTAAGCTACTACTACTTTTTATTCAAAATTAAAAGTAATTTCAAGCATACAGAAAGGGTGAAAAGTAGCACAAAGACCTATAATACAGACGTGTGCTGTCAACATTTTGCCCACTTATTTTATATAAACTTTTAGTATTCTTTCTTTATTTCTGTGTGTCTGTGTGTATTATTTTTTCCTCCACGTTTGGTAAGTAAGTTAAATGCCTTTTTACTCCTGAATTCTTCAGTGTGTGCTTCCCGTGAACAGGGTATTTTCTTAAGTAATCACTGTATAGTTACCCTTTTTAGGAAGGTTAAGATCTACCTTTCATTTTCCAATTCTGTCAGTTGACCCAGACTGACTACTTTTTTTTTTTTTTAATTTATTTTTGAGAGAGAGAGCAGAGGAAGGGGCAGAGAGAGGGAGAGAGAGAATCCCAAGCAGGCTCCACATTCAGTGCAGGGGCCGATGTAGGGCTTGAACCCATGAATTGTGAGGTCATGACCTGAGCCGAGACCAAGAGTTGGACGCTTAACCGATTGAGCCGCCCAGGTGCCCTTCCTTCTGCTTTTTAAAACCACTCTAACTAGTTCTTTTTATTATTAAAACAATATTGCTGGAAATAGGAAAAATACAGGAAAATACAAAGAAGAAAACTAAAAATTAACTACATTTTTACCACTCTAATAACAATAGTTGGGTATTTTTGTATCATTACCTTCTAGTAACTTTGCCACAGTCAAGGAATAAGCTATTTGTATGTATACAATGTATACAATGCTACCCAAAGGGATTGCTGCTTTAAATCATTTAGGAAAAAAGTTACCAGTAAAACCTTCTAAAAGACCAGATTTGTAAATCAGAGTAAATTTTATGATGTAAAAGTCTGTTTTTTTTTTTTTTTAATTTTTTTTTTTTTAACGTTTATTTATTTTTGAGACAGAGAGAGCCAGAGCATGAACAGGGGCGGGGCAGAGAGAGAGGGAGACAGAATCTGAAACAGGCTCCAGGCTCTGAGCTGTCAGCACAGAGCCTGACGTGGGGCTCGAACTCACAGACTGTGAGATCGTGACCTGAGCCGAAGTCGGACGCTCAACCGACCAAGCCACCCAGGCGCCCCTTAAAAGTCTGTTTTAAATCTCTTAAATCTTTTTCTTATTATATGCATCAGTAGTAATATCTTGATCTAATCAGTATCACGTTAGTAACATCTGATTGTAAAAATAGTATATCCTTATAGGAAGTTTGAAAAATTAGGAAAATGTAAAGAAATTTTAATTCAAGAAGAGATCATTGCTATTAATATTTTGGCATATTTTCTTCTAGTTTTTCAAAATATTTATGTGTTTATATAGTGTATATATACGTGTGCATGTATAATTGTAGGTACATATGTCTTAATTTTTTTTTTGAAGTGTGATTAAGTTATGTGCATTTAATATTAGGTCATGAGCATTTTCCCCTAAAAACAGCATTTTAAAAAATGACTTCTGCATTTTTGGATGCTATACAATAATTTAAGCCATACTTTTATTACGTTATTTCTAGTTTTTCACTATTACAAATAGAATGATGAACATCTTCATAATTCATTGTCCATTTCTCTAGATTATTTTCTGAGGATAGATTTCTATTGAAAGGTACTTAAAATTTGAGGTTCTTAATGTATATTTCATATTTCTTGACAGGCTTTGGCTTTCATTTTATTAGAATTTGCATTTTTCGTTATCAAAGTAATACATTTCTGTTGAAATTTTGAAAATGGAAATAGCAAACAGTTACCCATAGACTAATGTCTGTAACACAGCAGTTGCTAGCAATTTGGGGTAATTTCTTTAATTATCTTTTCCCTGCAAAATCGGTGTGATACTATGACACTATATTCAGGTTTGTAACCCACATTAAAAAAAAAAAATTCACATTGCGTTGCAACCTTGAAGAACACTGCAATAGCTACATAATCAGTTAAGTTTTTAAGAGGTAGCCAACCATATGTATTTTGAATTGAGGGTAGCAGCTGGAGGAGGAAAACAAATCCCTGTAGTCACCCAGACTTAAGTTTATGGGACATCAATAAAAATATCTGCGTCCCTCCACCTTCTCATCTTCCTCCCTCTCTTCTTCTCTCCTTCCTTTGGTGAATAATGCCAAAGGAGGAAATGTCTTTGGAAGCATTAAGCAAGGAGCTAGATAATTGCTCTAATTGTTCCTGGCACCTTGCTTGTTTCTTGCCCAAAGTTGTCATTTCTATACAAGATAGTGTTGGGGTTTTTTTTCCTTTTTTTTTTTTTTTTTTTTGATGGAAGACAACAAGTAATTACCTGGCTTCTTTCTCTCATTTGTCTGCTCTTTGTCGTTATCATTACTTAAGGTTTATTCTTCTCAGGTTGAGATGTAATTAAGGGATGAGCTTATAGCAAAGAGGCTTAACCACAAGTTTAAGGTCATTTACCTTCTACCAAATTCCTGTTTATTCCATGAATTTTATTCTTAAATGAAAGTAAGTATCAAAGAGCCTCCAGTGTTTTCAAACCACACCGGGTGTTTGACAAACATGTTTCTTAAGGTAATGGGTCTCAATTGTGTTTGTATCTTTTTAGGTTTACCATAGTTACTTTTGGCCATTGGAATGGACGATTCCATCAAGAGATAACAATAAGTGTTATGCAAAAATAATCTGTAATATCAAAGACAATGTAAGTGAAATCCTCATTTAATCCTTTCTCCAGTAATTTCATTTTGTTTTTACTATGTGGTTCTATTTTGATCCCATGATATACATTGCATTCCTTTTGTACTTTACCTGTTGGTCTCCCCAGCTGAGTGGACATTATCTGAGGGCAGGGGTCATGGTGATGCGCTTGATCTCGACTCAGTGTCACTGGCACAGGGCTCTGCCCTTGGTAGGCAGGCAGGCAGGCAGGCAGAACTTGCGGAGCGAAGACCGCAGAGACGATTTGAGAACTGATGTTTGTGTTTATAAAAGGAAAGCAGTGAAGTCACTGTCTAAAAATGAGAAGATATAAACGGAGTTACACAAGTTTGTATCCTAAGCAGCTGGCACTAATGCGAAAAGTGTAATAGGAAGAGCTCTTAATTGGGTTCTGGTTTCAGATTTTGTTGCCTGCCGCTGCATGTCAACCAGTAGCTGAAGGCCTGTGGCAGACTCCTTGACCTCATAGGGTTTGTTTCCACACCTACACGATGATTGAGTAAATTGTTGGTTTTCAGTCTTTTTTTTTTCTTCTCTTTTTTTTTTAAGTTTAATTCTTTTTGAGAGAGAGAGAGAGAGAGAGTGCGAGCAGGGGGAAGGGCAGAGGGAGAGAGAGAGAGAAAACCCAAGCGGGCCACATGCTGTCAGCGCAGGGCCTGATGGGGGACTCGAGCTCCACAAACCACGAGATCATGACCTGAGCTGAAACCAAGAGCCAGACACTCAACCGACTGAGCCACCCAGGCGCCCCGTCAGTCTTTTTTTGACTGCTGTCCCCATTTTATTTTATTTATTTATTAAATATGTATTTACTTAAGTAATCTCTACACCTAACATGGGGCTTGAACTCATGACCCTGAGGTCAAGAGTTGCATGCCCTTCCTACTGAGCCACCCAGGCAACCCCCCCCTTTAAAAAAAAAATTTTTTTTTTTAATGTTTATTTATTTTTGAAGGGGAGAGAGACACAGAGTGCGAGTGGGGGAGGGGCAGAGAGAGACGGAGACAAAGAATCCGAAGCAGGCTCCAGGCTCCAAGCTGTCATCACAGAGCCGATGCAAGGCTCGAACTCAGAAACCGCGAGATCATGACCTGAGCTGAAGTCGGCCACTTAACAGACTGAGCCACGCAGGCGCCCCGTCCGCATTTTATATTGTAACTCATAACACATATATGTACACATCTTTCGAGAAGCGGTATTTCTAACTTCGTTGGGATCTTACCTTTCAAAAAAAAGTCCTGAGTAAAAATGTAAATGGTGCTAAAGAATCCATAGTTAAAAGCCCAATAAACTCATACTTTTCTTATTTTGAGATTTGAATATAATTAAACCATGTGTCCTGTTTAGAAACTACTACTCCAGACAGTAGTACAGGAAAGCCTGGATCCTTTACAAAGAAGCTCATCCTAGATGCATTTAATAAATGAACGTACTGAGACACAGTTGACGTAAACACTTTTATGCAGTTTTTTTCTTTGCAGACAGAAGTTTTATTAAAAGTATTTGAATGAGCGTATACGTTAGCTATCGTGCTCCTGTGGACAGAGGGGAAACTGATGTTCTTGCTGGCAGTCCGATCTCTGCCTCTAGCAAGAGCTGGTTCAGTTGCGTGTAGCAGTCAATTGAACCTCCACATTTTCCTTCAAACCAAGCAGATTTGTTTTAACTGTAGGTAGTTCTTTGGTGTTTTTTTCTTTTTTTTTAAAGTTTATTTTTGACAGAGACAGAGTGCGAGCATGAGCCAGGGAGGTAGAGAGAGAGACAGGGAGACACAGAATCCGAAGCAGGCTCCAGGCTCTGAGCTGTTAGCACAGAGCCTGATGCAGGGCTCGAACCCATGAGCCGTGAGATCGTGACCTGAGCCGAAGTCGGACACTTAACTGACTGAGCCACCCAGGCGCCCCTGTAGTTCTTTGGCCTTTTTTTTCACTGTTGTGTCATTTGTTCAAGTAACACTTTTTAAATATGATATAAAGAGTAGTTTTCACTATTAATGAGCCCAATTAATTAAAATAGTCGAGGCCATAAGTAGGGTGGTCTTACTCTCAGCTATTTTCATTGGCAAAGATAGCATTAGGAAAGATGAATACTTGTCATTGTTCTTTGGTCATGAGCAATCTTTTGTGTTTTTTTTTTGTTTTTTGTTTTTTGTTTTTTTAATTTTTTTTTTCAACGTTTATTCATTTTTGGGACAGAGAGAGACAGAGCATGAACGGGTGAGGGGCAGAGAGAGAGGGAGACACAGAATCGGAAACAGGCTCCAGGCTCTGAGCCATCAGCCCAGAGCCCGACGCGGGGCTCGAACTCACGGACCGTGAGATCGTGACCTGGTTGAAGTCGGATGCTCAACCGACTGCGCCACCCAGGCGCCCCAATCTTTTGTTTTTTTAAGTGTATTTATTTTGATAGAACATGTGAATGCGTGTGAATGGGGGAAGGGCAGCAAGAATGGGAGAGAATCCCAAGCAATGCTTCGTGCTGACAGTGTAGGCTCAAAATCATAAACCGTGATGTCATGACCTGAGCCGAAACCAAGAGTTGCTCAACCGACTGAGCCACCCAGGCGCCCTGTCATGAGCAGTCTTAAACAAAAGCATGCTTCTAGAACTTGACCATGCTTGGGACATATGCTTTATTCGCTTTGAGTCAGTCATTTCACAGTGTCTACATGTGCTTGGTTTTTCCAGTATTTAGTATCTGCTAGGCTTTGCTTCTTTTTGTATGCTATTCTCTTTTTCTTAATATGAAATCTTTAACATTTACAGAAAGATAGGGAAAGTACCTACCACCCAGATTCAGGAATGTTAACATTTTGATGTATTTGCTTCAGAGCTTTTCTCTTGAAAGAAGGAAACCATGACAGAGGAAATTTATAATAGCCTATGTTTATTGAGCACTTACTGTGTACCGTGTACTTCTTAGAAATCTACGTGGTTTCACTTAATCAATTCTTACACAGTCCTGTGCAGTATGTGTTGTTGTTATTCCTGTTTTATTGACGAAGAAACTGAAGCCCATGCAAGTTAAGTCAGTGTGCTCAGGCTACTGGCCTAGTTAATGGCAGTGAAACTCAGTCCCAGGCAGTGTTGATGCCATGCTTAAGCATTATCCTATGCCTGTGTAATCTTTTGTATTCCTTCTCGATCCTGTACTCCTCACTCCTTGCCCCAGAGGCAACACTGTCCTGGAGTGTCTCCCCTGCTCACGGTTTTATGTTTGCTCCCCGTTAAATATTATGCACTCTGGTTTAATTAAGAATGGTATCCTCAGCTAAAAAGACAAGCCTGCAACTTTGATGTATCTCTTTTTTTGAGATCTACTCATATTATCAGATGCAAATCTAGTTTATTTTCAGTGCAGTGTGTTTTGTGCTTTATCCATACTCTAAACCCCTGATTGGCAGGATGAATAATGTGAGAGTCCGTCGTGGAATATATTACCATACTTTGGCAACTGTTTTCCAGGCAGCGATTGAACCTTAGATAAGGCTCTGCACCCTACAGCCTGAGTTGCCTCATCTGTGATGAGGAGATTGGACTAGATAATATAGCTCAGTCATGAAAATCTGAACATTAGGATGCATCAGATTTCTCTGCCCTTGGCAGAGGTAGCCAGAGTCTGGGATATAGAGCTTATTCAAAGTAATTTCCATATAGGTATTTCAGAATTGCCAAACATTTCTCTATTGGTTTCAGAAATGTTTTCAGATTGGAAGCATCTTAAGTCTAACTGTGCTGTCTACCCCCAAAGCCTTAGTTAAAATGATTTTTAAAAGCTTATTCAAAGTAATTTCCATATAGGTATTTCAGAATTGCCAAACATTTCTCTATTGGTTTCAGAAACGTTTTCAGATTGGAAGCATCTTAAGTCTAACTGTGCTGTCTACCCCCAAAGCCTTAGTTAAAATGATTTTTAAATTTAAATGACTGCTTTTCTTTATTTAATTTTTTTTTTAGATTTTATTTATTTATTTATTTTTTAATTTTAAGTAATCCCTACACCCAGCATGGGGCTTGAACTCCCAACCCTAAGATCAAGAGTCGCATGCTCCACTGACTGAGCCAGCCAGGAGCCCCTAAATGGCTGCTTTTAAACGTTCCAGCTATCATAGATAGTCTATCTGGAGCCTTGAGACAACCAAATAAAGGAGATGAGGACACATCTGCCCCTTTGAAAACATTTTCCAGAACATTTTGGTGCTTATGGAGTTGCATACGTGTTGGCTTTTAATGATTTTCCCCCTCATCGCTCAAGGCCGGCTCTTGTCTCTTCCTTCTTGCTTGATGTAACCACCATATTCTGTTGGCCCATGTTGGAGTATCTTCAGCCCAAATCGCTTTTGGCAACTGTAAATATAAGTCTTTGATCATTTCTGAACAGGGTTTTAGAATACACAGGGTTAACACGCTAGTCTGTTAAGGGGGAAAGAATCAGTGTGACCGTCTTCCTTTATTTTATATCTTAGGAACGTGTTGTCGGCTTCCACGTACTGGGTCCAAATGCTGGAGAGGTTACGCAAGGCTTTGCAGCTGCACTCAAGTGTGGACTGACCAAAATGCAGCTGGATAGTACCATCGGGATCCACCCCGTCTGTGCAGAGGTGGGTCACCTGTGCGTCGACAGCTCTGTTTAAAAGTGCCCGTCGCCTGGCTGGCAAGTGGAGGGTGTAGCGCTCTGAACTGAAGCTGGGGTCTTTCTGCTACAGTGCAGCTACTTCTGTGCATCCTTACAGTTCAGCTCGTGATTGGGTACCTCAAAAAAGCCTTGGGTCTAGAAACCATTTTTCCTTTTCCAAATATTTTTCGTTCCTGATGGGAACTAGTTAGTGGTAGCATGCTATTAAATGGTAGGAATGATGGTGGGGATTTATTTACAGAGATTCAACCTTTTATCGCGTCTCCTCAGTTATTTTCATGGCTGGCAGCGACTGGTGCCATTCATACCCGGAAAGAGCTTCAGTCCTAGGTGTCCCAGAGCCATCTCGAGGCTAAAGGATGTTGTCTGCCTTTTTAGCTTTTGGTGTCAAAGGATGAGATTTGAAAGTGATGCTTTTATTTATTTTTTAAAAAATTTTTATTTATTTATTTTTTTCAACGTTTATTTATTTTTGGGACAGAAAGAGACAGAGCATGAACGGGGGAGGGGCAGAGAGAGAGGGAGACACAGAATCAGAAACAGGCTCCAGGCTCTGAGCCATCAGCCCAGAGCCCGATGCGGGGCTCGAACTCACGGACCGCGAGATCGTGACCTGGTTGAAGTCGGACGCTCAACCGACCGCGCCACCCAGGCGCCCCGAAAGTGATGCTTTTGAAAGACGAAGCAAACAGTAGAACTGGAAGTCGACTGCTCTGGGCCTGTGGGTGTCCGTGTTTCTTCATGCTCGTCTGGGGTCATGCCAGGGTTGAATGGCGTGCTGCTTACTGCCATGTAGGGCTCGCGAACCACAAATGTGTCTCCTTTGGAGACTGGTGAAGGTTGGGGGGAGGTAGCTTATATGAGTCCAGCTTAGGATACGGACTTGAAAATTGTAGCCGTTACCTGGCCCCCACCGTCCGTGGTTTCCAGGGTGTACGTGTGCTCACACGCACACAGGTGTGCACGTTCCTGCCTGATTTCGTCCAGGAGCTCGTTAACTGGTTGGTCTCTGTTCTTTTTGCCCTTGAACAACTGAAGTCTTTGCTGAGCATGTGAAATGTTGGCTTTACGACCTGGAAGAGGGTTTTGGTTTCCTTTGGCTTTGCCTTTCCTGTGGTCAGGGGCAGTGTCTTCCTCTGTGTTCATATGCACCTGGCTAGGGTGAAAGCACACAGTATGAACAGGTCTAGTGACCAGGACGTTATTCACAGAAAACTACTCTTTTTGTGAAATAAAACTAAACTTTTAAAAATGTGACCCCAAATTGAAAAGAGTCTAGATTGAAGCTCTTAAAGAATGTACGGTGAGTATGTCTTTCGTTCTGTGTAATGACTAAGGCTGTCTCTGCCTAGGGAGGGAACCAACTAGCCTCATTTTTTTCAAAAACTCTTTTAGTGAGAACATTAGTGTACGAACTCCACTCGTCTAGGGCTTATGTGACGAAGTGCCACACACCTGGTGGCCTACCACAACAGAACTTGATTCTTGCTTAGTTCTGGAGGCTGGAGGTCCGAGATCAAACGTCAGCAGGGCCATACTCCCTCCCACGGCCCTCGACAAGACTCTTGCCTGGCCTCTTCCAGCTCGTGGTGGTCGCTGGCAGTCCTGGGCCTTCCTTGGCTCGCTCCTGCATCCCGGCTTCCATCTTCCTGTGCGTGGCCTCACCTGCTGCATGTCTGTGTCTGGATTCCCCTTATGAGGAGGACATCAGTCATTGGATTAGGGCCCACCCGAATCCAGCCTGACCTTATTCAAATAAGGTCCTGTTAACAGGCACCCGGGGTGAGGGCTCGAGTGTATCTTTCTGGGGGACTTAACCCACAGCAGTGAGTATACTTACAACTTCAGAAGTCAGGCCACCATACTTAAAAACGACAGCAGCCATCTCTGACATGGATGAAGAGACTTCTCAGCTTGCGTATGTGAGCGTCTAACTTTTTAAACCTGAACTTAGCTGTCGGTGGGCTGGTTAAAAGACCGACTCCCACCGTCCGCACAGGCAGCGGCCAGCGGGGTGGCGTCGGGCAGGTTGACCGCCGGCCAGGCGGGGAGACGCGCCGAAGAGGCAGGGCTTCCCGGAGCCAACCAAAGGCCTCTCCTCCTGGATACACCTGGCACATCCGGGGACCTTTGTGAGTCTCTGCTGCTGTGCATCTCCATCAGTCAGTTCCCGTATGACTGTGAAGCTTGCAGACTGAAAGTTTCACTGCTTTGACGGGGCTTAAAAAAATTTGTTTTTCCAAGCTGGTGGTTGACGAATGAGAGAAAAATTGGGAGCTGTCTCACTCTGTGAACATGTTTGTTGTGCGGTTCTGTGTGTAGCGCTGTGCTGGGCGCTTGGGGATACAGCAGGGATTTAGGATGAGATCAAGAAAGAGCAGGAGGCAGCTGAGTCCAGGGCCAGATGCAGTGGAGCGTGACAGGTCCCAACCAGGGAAATCCAAAGTGGTGTCTGGAGGAGGGAGTTCTCGTCTGAGACAAGTAAAACGTGCTGGTAGAGAGCCAGTCAGAGGGAATAGTAAATACCGGGCCTCTGTGGGAGGGATCGTATTTCTTCACGCAGCTGGAAGGCCCTCAGCACTGCTGGAGCTTGGAGAGCCCAGAGGGAGGTGAAAAAACTATGCTAGGAAAGGCGGTAGGAAGGTCGGTGGCCTTGTAAACCGAGGCGGGGTGTTTGGGCTTTATCCTGGGGCCTTGGTGTTCAGCCGAGAGAAGGTTGGATGGGGCAGGAGTGCCGTGATCAGACGTGCCGTGAGGAGAAATCCCTGGCCACGCTGTGGCACGGGACCTCGTGGGCCAGAGCAGGCACATGCGGAAGTAAGGATGTGGTGCCGGCCTGAACTGGGGCGGGGGGCAGGGGGGGGGGCGGCAGTGGACATCGAGAAGCCCTGGTGGATTTGAGAATTTGAGAGAGAACTAGGAGGTGGGCTTCCCTGAAGTGGGAGGGGGAGGGTGTGGGAGTGAAGTGGGGAGCAGTAGTAGAGAAAGAGTCCGGGGGAGTCATGCTGACTGTGGCGCTGACGTCCTGTGTGTCAGGCACTGTGCTCTCTGCGGAAGTGCTTACGCGAATTCCCCAGGGAGGGGGGGCGGGGGGCAGTAGTATCTCCATTTGACAGATGAGGGAGGACCCTGGGGACAGAGGGGCTGAATAACTTGCCCACGGCTCTCCAGCTTGGAAGTGGCACAACCAGGATTCTAACCCAGGCAGTCTGGCTCCCCAGACGCCCGCCGCTGTGTGAATGATACTCCACTCGTAGGCCCCTTCTACGGCATTTGACACGGAATTTAAAAAGTGGCAACATGAGCGTGGTGGAGACATACACAGCTGGATTGTAGTCTCAGCAAGATCTCACACAGCTGGATTGTAGTCTCAGCAAGATCTCCGTGAACCTGGCCACAGCACCCAGCTTTTCAGGCACCTTAGTCTCCATGTTAACTAAAACAGAGGTGACGTCTAAGTCCTAGGGCTGATGAGCAGTGCTGTGCAGAAAGTGTTTGGGAGAGTTCCTGCACCGGGTACTGGTATTGGTGGTATTTCATTATAGAAGATGTGGCTTCAGTCAAGGGGATCGTTACAGTGTTTTCTTTTTAAATGTTTGTTTATTTATTTTGAGAGAGCGAGCGTGAGAGATCTCATGCGCTGTGAGTTCATGACTTGAGCCGGCATCAGGAGTTGGACGCTTCACCGACTGAGCCACCCAAGTGCCCCTACAGTATTTTCTAAGGGGGTTGCAGGGTGTGCTGGGAAGGGATGCATAGTTTGAAAGCGCTCCTCTCTGGGGCGCTTGACTAGCTCAGTCAGAAGAGCATGTGTCTCTTGATCTCGGGGTCGTGAGTTCAAGCCCCACATTGGGGATAGAGATTTCGTAAATGAATAAATAAAAACTTAAAAAGAAAGAAAGAAAAAGCTTCTCTGGTGATTTGTTAAAAAATTTATTTAGGAGCACCAGCTGCCTCAGTCGGTAGAGCACACGACTCTTGATCTTGGGGATCGTGAGTTTGAGCCCTACATTAGATGCAGAGATTACTTAAAAATAAAATCTTAAAAAGAAACGTATGTAAACTAAAAACAACAACAAGAACAAAATAATTCATCCATTTCTCCCACCACCCCACACCCGCCTCTTGCAACCATCAATCTGTTTTCTCTGTGAGCTTGTGTTTTATGTTGTTTGTTTTTGTTTTTTGAGAGAGAGTGCACATGAGTGAGGGAGAGAGACAGAGAGAGAAAGAGAAACAGGATCTTAAGCAGGATCCACGCTGAGTCTGGAGCCCAACACGGACTTGATCCCACGACCCTGGGATCATGAGCTGAAGTCAAGAGTCAGATGCTCGACCGATTGAGCCACCTAGGCGCCCCTGTTGTTTTGTTTGTTTTCTAGATTCCGCATATAAGAGAGCTGCTATAGTTTGTGTTTTTCTCTGTCTGACTCATCTCACTTAGCATAATGTTCTTGAGGCAATGCATATCGTTGTGTGTAAGTGGCAAGGTTTCATTCTTTTTTATGGCTGGCTAGTGTGTGTGTGTGTGTGTGTGTGTGTGTGTGTGTGTATGTAACACACACCACATTTTCTTTATCCATTGATGGACATTTAGGTTGTTTCCATATAAGCTATTATGCTGCAGGGAATATGGGGGTGCAGATATCTTTTCAAATTAGTGTTTTGGGGGGGGATATATACCCAGTAGTGGCATTCCTGAATCACATTCGTAGTTTTGTTTTTAATTTTTGAGGAACCTCCGTGTTGTTTTCCACTGTCTGTGTTGTTTTCCATAGTGGCTGCAGCTAACTTGTATTCCCCCCGACAGTGCACAAGGGCTCCCTTTTCTCAGCATCCTCACCAACACTTACTCTTTACTTTTTGAGACTAGCCATTCTGACTGGTGTCAGGTGGTATCTCATTGTGGTTTTGGTTTGCATTTCCCTGATGATGAGTGATGTGGAATATCTTTTCGTGGCCATT